TCTGTCTGTCTGGAGCTGTTGGCAGAATTATCCTAACAGCGTTCGTTCGTGTGAAGGCCACCTGTTGCCTGCTTCCACCCTGAAACCACTGGTCATTGTTATAGCTCATCAGCACTAGACGTGAGAGGAAATGCAGTCTGAACGACCTGGAATCACCTGAAACTTGTGCTGTTAACGCATTGTTTCAAGGAAAAGATGTCAAATAGCCTTCAAATCTAAATCTGTCCTAGTTAGTGCTGTCCTCAATTTCCAAAGTTGAGGAGGTTGGTTGTCATTACAAAAAACCTCCCCTCTCTACCTGATTTATTGTGTCTTGTGCTTATGCAGGCTGTTTCAAGGCTGCTAAATACCCCAAGGAGAGAGATTTTTTGGTAGGCATAGAGCTGCCTTTAAATGCTGACATAGTTTCCTAGCTGTGCTCCAAGACAGACTAGATTCATGCACTGAGACTGGCAGAGCAGAGCAGAGAGAGAGAGAATGTTACAATACACCTTCTGGGCTGTTTGCTCACAGGCTAGTGCCCTTAGTCTGCACCTGGGTCATGATCAGGGTCAGCCTCGCGCTTGCACAAACTGAGAGTGAATGCCTCCTTAAATTTTGTACCTTTATCACCTCGGTTGCTTCACCCTAGTTCCACTCTGGTCGTGATAGCACAGTTGTGAATCAGCCAGCCCCTCAGCCCCATACCTGCCCATACAGAACTCAGAGCAGCAGACAATGGAAAAGGCGGAAGTTGGCTCACCAAACCCCTGTCTCTGAAGATCTTTGACCACCAAAGAAACTGTGCATCCGGCCTCCAGCAGACTTCCCCTTCGCATCTGCTTTTCTGTCCCTGCTTGCAGTCATATTTGCCTGGGTGAATTGTAAATCACTCTTAACATTTCACCTGTCTTGGAACCCTGCCTGGTGAGGGATGTGCTGTTTCTTTTAGGGACCCTGTGAGGCCAGCATCAGAAGGGGTGGGGTGGGGAGCAGCAATAAGAGCAATATAGAAGGAGGCAAGTTAAGCCAAAGAGGAAAATAGATTAATAGGCTTAAAGCCAGATTAAGACTTGATTAAATTCTTAAGGAAGGGGAGAGTGGGCATTTGTAAGGCCCACAATTACTCAGGATAGTGAGTTAAATGTTTAGTGCTACAAAATAACCTGATTACAGTCTGTAAGCAGTTGAGGAATAAGAATTCAGAGTCTGTTTAACCTTACTACCCATCCAAATCATATACTTAGTTAGGTTCCAAAGCAAAACCTCTTGCCATTGAGTCGATTCCAACTCATAGCGATTCTACAGGACACAGTAGAACTTCCCCTTAGGGTTTCTAAGGAGCAACTGGTGAATTCAAACTGCTGACCTTTTGGTTAGCAGCCAAGCTCTTAAGCACTGTGCCACCAGGGCTCAGTTAGGTTAGCTACCCTGAATTGTGTGCATACCATGTACTGGACACTTTGGTAAGTGCCTTATCACATTATCCACGTGCAGCATCTCATTTAATCTACACCACACCAGCCATCTCAAGAAGGGCAATGTTGTCATCATTTTCCCTGTTTTCCAAACAAAGAAACTTTAGGCTTAGATAGATAACATTTTAAGTATTTTAGCCAAAGCAGTCTGACCCTTTTAAATATTTTAACTCAAGCAGCCTCACCCTCTTAACCACTACATAAATGATTAGGCTGTTCACATAATTTTGAAATATTAAAAAAAAAAAAAAAACCAGTATAAATTGTATTTGAGACCCGCCCTGCTTGGGTGGGTAAGGAGAAGAAGCAGGACAGAAGGGAGCTGGAGAAATCACTGGGACGTCTTTGATGAGAATTGAACTTTGGCCCTATTAAGTCACATGCAGACCCAGCGACAGGACTGTAGTACAAGGTACCATGTCATTTACTTGGAGGATTTTTTTTTAGTACTAAATTGCTGGAAAAAATGGGAAATGGGGCATGCCTTTTTTTTTTTTTTTTAACTACAGATATTTTTCCATTGCATTGGCATTTTATTCCTTAATTTTCAAACAGTGTCGAGTATTTTCTGTGAATTTTTTTTTCCTGGTAGTTCTAGAAAATTTTTTTTTTTTTTATTGTACTTCAGGTGGAGGCTTACAGAACAAATAGTTTCTCATGAAACAGTAG